CCCCCCCCCCTGCGTGCCGGCTGGCGCCCCGATGCCCTCTCGGCCGGCACCAACCCGCGGACCGGGCGCGCGCCAGACGCGCAGAAATCCCAGCACCGCGCGAGGGCTTCCCCCCCGGTGACCGGAGATGCCAGCGGACTGCCGGGGGCGATCGGACACCCCCCCGGGTGGGCGGCCGAACCGGCCCCGCCCGGCACGCGCGGCCTGGGCATTTCCTGCCCGAAAGAGGCTGCCGGCCCGGAGGGGCACTTGCCCCAAATGAGGCCTCGGGCTGCTGGATGGAGCAACGGCGCCGCGATCGGCCGAGGCGAGGAAGGAGGGGGGAAACCGCCGGGCCCCCCGCCCCCGCCCCCCCCCCCCCCCCGGCGCGCCTGATGAGGGACCCGGCCTGCGGGCGCCCGGGCGGCCGGGGCCCTTTCGTCTCCGGCGCCCTCCCAGCAGCCGACCTTTTCACCCTCCCTCCGCCGCCGCCGCCGCCGCCTCTCCCCGCCCTCCGCCTGCCTCCCGGCCATGGCCGCCGACACCGCACCCCTGGCGTACCTCCTGGCGGAGGTGTGGCCGGCGCAGCGGCCGCCGGGCCCGGGCGCTGCCCCCCCCCCCCCCCTCCCCCCCTGCTCGATCACCGACACCTGGTTGAGTGCCTGCAGGCCAGCGGCCCGGCCCTGCGCCTGGGTCAGGTGCGCTGCCGCCCTCGGCCGGGGGCCCCTTTGCGCCGGGCTCGCTCGCGCACACACACACATACCCACAGCTCCCCCTGCCCGTCGACGCACTTACACGCACACCCGCCTGCCCCGGCCGGTCTCCTTCAGGACACACATGCACACGCGCACCGCCCGCCGGGATCCAGGCCATCTGCCTGCTGCCCGGGGTGATGCTCCGACCGAGGGTCATGGCCGGGGCGTCCGGCGACCAGGCCGCCGGCCGGGCCGACCGCCGCACCCTGGTGCTGCTGGACGCCGCGCCGGCAGGACCCCGGGTGCTGCGGTGTGTCCTCCCCGGGCCCCGGGCCCATCCCCATGGCCATCCCCGCGCCAGCCTTTGAGGCGCTGTTGGCGCGCGGCCCGCCGCCCTGCCACGATGTGGTCCTCGTGTGCGCCCTGCCGGCGGCCGCTTGCCTGTCCCCGCCCTGTCTCGCCCCCGCCCCTCCTCCCTGCCGGGCCGCCCTCCCCGACTGACACCCATCGCTGCCCCGGGCTCGTGGGGCCCCTCCTCGATCGCCGCGCAGGGCAACACAGGAGGCATGGCCGCCGGCGACCTGGAACGCCTTTTTGCCCAGGCCACGGCCCGGGATCTGGTCCCCCTGCCGGAGCCGCTGCCCTGGCTGCACTCGGTCAGGCTCCTGCCGCCGGCCGGCCCGCACGCCGACCTGCCCCACCCCGACGCCCCGAGCCCCCGGCTACTGGCCCTGGGCCAGGTGCGGCATCGAGCGCGCCGGGCCACCGGCACCCTTCGCCCCCCGGGGCCGCCACTCACGCGTCGTCCCCCGTACACCCCCCCCCCGGCCGCAGGCGGATGACCATGGCCGCGGCCGGGTGACCCAGCTGCTGGACCACCGGCTCCGGAGCGTCCCCTTCGGGATGGCCCATGCGCGGACCCGGGCCACCCTGCCGACGGCCCCGCCGCCCGAGGTCCATGTTGTCGGCCGGGCGCAGGACATGCAGCTGCGCCTGCTGCCCAGCGTCCTGGTGCCGCCGGGCGTGGCCATCCTGTCCGATACGGCGCCCGGCCGGGCCGGCCTGGCCGCGGGCCCCGGCGCCGCGACACTCCCCGCCGGCGGCGCCCGGCTCTCGGAGGTGCTGGCCATGAGGTGCGCCCCGGGGCCCGCCCCCCCTTGACACACCGCGGCTCGCCTGGCCAGCCAGGACCCTGCTCACGCGCCAACGACACCCCGCCCCCCCTGGCAATCTGCCGGCGGCCTCCCGGCGCAGCGAGACCAGCGCCGGGCCGCACATGGCCGGGCTCCTGCCGGTGACGGCCCTGGCCGTCCACCCGGGCCTGATACGGTGGCCCTGGCCGCGGCCGCAGGCGCCCTGTCCCTGGATCCGGCCCGGCGCCCGCCTGGGCCCGGGCGCGGCCGGCCCTCCTGCATGTCGAGGCCGACACCTGGGCCGACCGGACCCTGGAGCTGGACCGGTGCCTGCCGGAAGCCACGGGCCTCCGGGCGCTGGGCATCGGCCGCGCTGCCCCGCCGGACGGGCGCCGCTACTACGCCCGCTTCGGCGACGGCCCGGCCCTCGGGATCATGTGCGTCCCTGCCGCGCGGATCGGCCTCACCGCCCCCTCCTCCCCCGCCACGCCCCTCGCACGCCGGGGCACGCGCCAGCTTCGATCCCCCCCCCCTGCCGCCGGGGCACCATCGCCTGTCGGCCGACCTCCTGCCAAGCACGCTGCTCCATGCCCCGGAGACGGTGGAGCTCCGGGCCCCCGCCCTGGCGCGGCCGCTCATCGGCGCCCTGGCCGGCCACCTGGACCGCCTCCTGCAGCATGACGCCCCCTATGCCCCGGGGGCGCGCGCCGTCCTCACGCCCGGCGCCCGCCCCGTCGCCGGGCTGGCCATTCATGTTTGCCCCTGCCCCCATCGGCCAGCCGGGCCTCCCGCCTCGCTCGTCCGAAAGGGGCCCTGACCCCTGCCGCTCCCTCGGGGCCGGCACCACGCCGACAGGACCCCCTCCACCCCGGCTGGCCGGCCCACCGGGTGCTCGGGCTGCAGGACGTCCACGGCCGGGCCCTGGCGCGCGGCCTGGCCCGGCGCGGCCTCACACACACACCCTGGGCCAATGCCCGGGGCAGCGCCCGCCGGGGGATGTCCCCCACTGGGCCTGGCTCCTGGACGTCGGCCTGCGCCTGGGCGCTGCCCCGGGCCCGGGGCCCCGGGCCGGCCGGCCGGCCGGCCGGCCGTCGGGCTCATCCACCCGGGCACCCTGGGCCTCCTGCGGGATGTCCTGCTCCCGGGCTGGCGGCCGGTCGGCCGCCACCACCGGGTCCTCCTGGGCGGCGCCCTTCTCGAGCTCCGGTGCGCCGGGGCCACCCCGCCGACTGTCGCGCCCCTCTTGCCATCGCTCGCGCCACCCGCCCGTGCACATTGGCCCCGGGGGCCGGGCCCCGTCGCAAGCCCCTGTCCGCCGGGCCAGCAGCACCTGCTGGGCTTCGGGCCCCGGCACATCGATCTGCTCCTGCGGGAGGGCTTCCTGCCGGGTGCCCCGGGCCCGGGGCCCACTGCGCGGCCCATCCAGCCGGCCGCCGAGTGTGTGGTCTCCGTGTGGGCCGCCGGCCGGCCGCATGCCCTGGAGGCGGCCCTGCGCCGGCGCATGGCCGTCGTCCAGGCCATCAGCTGCCTGGTGCGTGTGGGGACTTGCCTCGTGCTCCGGGCCGCCAGCGCCGCCGCGGGGGCCCCGCTCCCCGCCCCGGCGAAACCCGGTGCGGGCGTGGGCGA